GCATCGAACTGCGCTTGGGGGAATCGGGCCCTTCACTGAGCGGGAAAGAGGCGTCGGGCGTTAAATAGCCCACAGCGATTTTACGGTTCGGTTAGCCATAATGGAAGCTTGCAGCAGGAGATCGTCATTTTTGACACAAACCCTCAGAGCTGGTGACCCTTTAGTGTTGTTACCGCCAGTACACTGGAAGCATGTACGGCAGTGGGTGTAGCGGTGTTCTCCGTCCCCTTAAAGGTTGTTTGGAGGGGGTGTTGTTGAATATTAATAGTTCTTCTAGTGTTTTGGAGCGTAAAAAAAGTGTTGATCCGATTAGAGAAGGTAGATTTACGTGTGGTAGTGTTTTCTTTTGCTAAGTACAATTTTTTTTCTTTCCCTTTAGCAATGGGCTACATTTGCCAGAGCCTGGTATCTCCTCGATGCGAAGATGCAGCCACCAGGGAAAATAGCAGCTGCGACTGTCTTGAGACTTGAAGGCAGGCATAAACCTATTTATCATGCACTAAGTGAGTATTGCAGCAGATAAAGCAAATCTGCTTTCCTTCACTTGTATTATCCTTCTGATTTTAGTTTCTAAATAAAGCCTGATATAAAAGGTTGCGTTTTGTGGTCAATTTGTTGGTCAATTGGAATTGTTTTCATTTTCTTTCTCATCTTTTTCCTTCATACCCCTCTACAATCTTATGTCATTGTCTTTACCAAACCATGTAAAGCTTGTTGCAAATTGATAATTTATTTTTAGTAACTGAATTGCAGTGGGTTGTGCTTTCATTTTTTTTTCAAACCTTGAAATATGTTTCATTGCATTGATTTTGGATGTAAAGACTTAATTCACAGTCCATGTAATGAAACACTGATGTGATTCTTGATTAGATTTTTTTTAAGTGCTACCTTTCAGTAGCTACACAATGCCATAGAGTCTTGCAGGGTTTCTTCGTTCTGAAGAAGGTGCAGAGAAATCCTGCCTTCATGAGGTGATAGGCAGAAACTGAAACACAGGAGGTGCTCTCTGAACTTCAGGAAACATTTTTTAACTGTGAGGGTGACTGGAAGTGGTTGCCCAAGAGGTTGTGGAGTCTCCATCCTTGGTGATATTCAAAAGCTGGTCCTGCTTGAGCAGGGGAGTTGGATGACATGACCTCCAGAGGTCCCTTCCAACCTCAGGCATTTTGTGATGATGAGGCTGGAACCTGTCTGATCCTTACATGGGAGACATTGTTGAAAGGGAGACATAATCAAATGAAAAAATCACTTTGCTTTTCTGCAGATTAGAAGGTTCAGCAGTAAAGATGTATCTGTGATCTTGTTCATTACTTGTAATACCGCAGTGCCTGTCTCGCAGTGGTAAGCATTTTATTGGCAATAAAAAGGTGATCTCTCATATTGATGGTACAGTGTTTCCAGTAATACTCATATGCAAACTTTTCAAAAGACGTTATTGAAACATAAAGGAAGCATTAAACGTTGCTCATACATGTAGTATGTACATACTAAAATTATACTCGATCTGTTTTTTGTAATAGAAGGTAGTACTTGTAGGGCTCCAAAGATGTTTTAAATGCCAGTTCTGCTGTTGCAAATTATGTCTTACCCACAAGATGTCACTGGAGACTAAGGCTGCCTGAAAAATGAAAGAGACACTGAGGGGAAATGGTTTTGGTTGTCCTGTGGGACAGATATGTGATACTTTTATGTCCATGAAGTTATAAAATCCTGGAAAGTCATTTCAAGCATAACTTTATTTCAGCTAAAGTATTCTATAAATCAGTAGCAAACACATTACACCTGAGACTGACTGGTAGGTTTCTACTACTGGGACATTTGTTACTCTCTCAGAGAGCAAAGCATGCGTGAATTTGTGGCTGATGTACTTAACGTGTTTTTTCCTCTCTCTTTTTTTTTTTTTTTTTGTGTGTGGTTTTTTTTTGTTTTCCCTGAACTAACAAGAAATATTGCAGTGTCTGTGAGATAACAGTTCTTTAGACAGAATAACAATGTGGGGATTGTTTTGTTTTGTTTTGTTTTTGATTTGGTATCCGTATACCTGTCTATAAAATTGTCATTTTATTATTGTTTTGAAAAATATCTAGAGCCAAATTTAAGCTGTGGTTAGAAAAGGAAAAGAAATAGGAAAGAAATTTGATTTCATGTATATTTGGTTTCTATTTTAGGGATAATCTTTCATTATTTCGAGAGTTCCATATTTTTAGATGCTGTCAGAGTATATGCCTTAAGTAAGGGGATACAACCTTGTTCAGGAGGTTTGAATCTGGATTTTTAGGTTTCTTCTGCACCTCCCCTTCTTTCTACCCTCATCCCCTTGCATCCCTTCTTTGAGAGCAGCTTCACAATACAGAACCAAAACCAGTGGACCGGACTTTTAAAAAATGGGGCGATCTGGTTCTGTATGTTGGATTGTGAGGAAGCGTAGGTGAGCCACTAATGTTGCTTGAGTGGGATTTGCTGCTGTTCCCTGCATCCTCAAAGAAGACTAGGCTGGATGGAAGTGTCCCGCAAACCCTGCCTGGCCCAGGTGTTACTCTGGATTCCAGCATTACTTTATAATGGCTAGAAGCAGCAGCCAAGGCTTGGCTTCTGGTGAAGGATTTGGCATGTAGTTTGTCAGTCTGTTAGCTAACAGTTGCCAGTACGATGCCTACTTTTGGTTAAGCCTTAGTCCTTAATTAAAACGTAGGAAGGAAAATGCATGTACCCAAAGCACATGTTTTTACTGTGTGATAGGAATTAATGAAGCTATAAACTCACAGAGATATAAAATGGATTTACTGTGGCAGCTTAGTTTTATGTGAAGATGTGCAATCTATATGCTGTATGTAACAAATTGCATATACCGTAAAGTAATAGAGCATACTGGCCTTGGTTTTGTGTATTTCTTGAGGAAAACATACTTACGTACTTCATAAAAGAATACTTCAATATTATGGCATGAAAATAGACTAAGGGGAGAGTTTTCTTTCATGATATTTTGTGAATGTTTTTCAAAAGTAGGATGCAATTTGACTGTATTGATGGAGATGGTGAATATTTTTGCTTTCTTCCTATGAAGTGCAGCCATCCCTGAGGTGATGGGAACAACTCTGTTTAAAGACCGATGGAAAATAATGTATTAATTTGAAATTCCAAAGGAGACATCAGCTATCCATACATTCAGTCTAGTTTATAAAGAACAGGTTGCAGTCATTATTCAGGTAGTGTGTAAGTATCCTGGTTAGTTTTTCTCCTGGCTCTTTATTGTTCATAATTGATCTACTGGTCTATGGAATTGTTAATTGAGTGTTTATTCAAGTGCAGAACTTTTGGAAGGCATTTCCTTAGATGAGCTTATTCTGTCATCTTCCCAACTGAAAAGAAAGGAAAGGCCGTTCTGTGGTGTTTATTTAGACATACTGTATTCTTGGAACTGATCTGTCAGTGGTGAAAGGCTGCATCAGTGAAGATGTTTCAGTTGTGTCTGTGTGTTAGCTGTAGTGGAAAGTAGAGCTATGAGAGAACACAAGATTTAAAAAATTGGAGAAAACTTAAATAGGGTGTGAAATTTGCATTGATTATATAAAAAATGCATGCTAAATTTAGGTTGTTTTTAGTGTAGCTGCTTTGTTACTACTCACAAATGTTTAAATCAAATGAGCCTCTTCAAATACTTGCGTTGTTCTAATACGGTGATGCCCAGGAGACTGAACTTCAGATAAATCGTCTTCCAGTTCATTGAATGAGTGGTTATAGCTTATACAGTTGATCAAGGTGATTACTTCTGAAATTAAAAATTACAATTTTTTTTTTCATATTTTCATTATATTTTTGAGATGATAGGGTTTTGTTAGCACTACATTAGTAAAGAAGATCTATTAAAGTAACTGTTTCTGGCAAGGCACTGGTGACAGATTATAGGCTTTGCACTTAAAAGACTTTTGATGTGAAAGTTGCTGATATAACACTAAACATATCTGTTTGTGCTGTAACATTCACTTCTGCTCGATGGATAAAAATGTGGGTGTTTTCCCAACACGGCTGTTTTAAGGTTTTTGTGGGGCTTTTCTCCCCCTCACTTCCCCCCCTAATCTTTTTATTTCTTTTATATATTTAGCCCTAGGATCTAATTACTTAATAGAATTATTTTACTTACCCAGAATATTCAGTCCTCCAGTAAATGTTGGTACTGTTTTTATGAGAAAACTAAAATTAAACAAATAATTGGGATCATTGTTTAAAAATAACAGTTTTTTATTTGGTGTTTTTAGAAATGTAGGAGCATATGCAGCATAATGTGTTGGATAAAATAATATACTTGCCTGTAAGCCAGGTTTCCAGATCTTAGCTGAATAATTGCAATGGTTTAATTGTCTAGTTGTCTGGTATTTTACCTTCTCACCTACCTTCTAACCTGACAGTACTAACAAAGTAGTAATTAAGGTTGTTTAAGTGCAGGTTTGGATGGTGTGACTTAAAAAGCTCAAATCTCAGCTTTATGAAATGTGTATTTATGTGCCACTACATATGTATCACATACTTTATAGTTGTTATTTTTGTTGATTACTTATATGACTCTTAATATTTTCCAATGATTTCTACCTTGTAGGTGATTGTGGAGATCATGTTGTCATAATAAATACAAGACATATTGCCTTCTCTGGTAACAAGTGGGAACAGAAAGTATACTCTTCACATACTGGGTAAGCTTTATAATAAATATTCAAATGAGTTACGGGTAAATTTAGTCTCATATTTTCTTAATAGTTGTCTTTTTTAGCATATTGATTCGAAAGAGAATTCCTACTTACGTGTGTTGGGTTTTGTTTGCGTGTGTTAGGGTGTTTAAAATGATGCAAATGCAAACCTTTTTCTTCTTTTTTTATGGTTTGGTTTGGTTTGGTTTTGTTCTCCCCCCGCCTCCGGTGTATGTTGTTAGGGAAATAATCTTAACTCAAAAGTAGCAGGAGCCATTGAGTAAGTTAACAGGTTTGGTGAGCCAGGTTATCTCGTGTGAACCCACGAATCCAATGATCAGGACTATTCTAGTTGCTAAGCACTAGAAGACGTTCCTATTGGCACTGCACATTTAGATACATACAGTTGCCAACTTCAGCTACTTTATCCTACCAGTATCTATTTACCTAACAGTAAATATCAAAATTGATACATTATTGAATCAGAGGATGAAAAAGAAAGACATTGGAAGAACGAGCGAGGTTACTGATGTATGCAATAGTGTATAATGTATTATCCTGGCAGACATAACTTATTTACAGATGGAAGTGCAATAATCAGTTACAGATGGTATGGCAATGATTTGTTCAGTCAAGGAAGACCAGTTGCTCCTGTTTTGTACAGTGGCAACACTAGATAATAATTTCTAAGTGTTAAAACGTATCCAGTTGGGAGATTAATAAATCACATTGAGAAAGCTAATTTTGCTGGTAGTAATGTTTCAGTCCTGAAATTCCCTTGCTGAATTGCGGAGCTGTTCTTGTTCGGAGTTGATGGAAATTAACATTTTTTTTCTTTTTTCTTTTTTTTTTCCTCTCCTCACCCCTATGACTTCTTAAAAATTTTCACTAAAACCTTCTGTGTAAGTTAAAGCACTTACATAAGTACCCAAGTTGGTTTTGAGTAAGTGAATAGAATTGTACAATTAAAACAAATACTTAAATCTGTGCAGCTCCCTAAGTGGACATTTTTGGTGATGTCGGGTTTATTTTGATTTCACTTCAGCTGATACCTAGTAATGTAATTAAACCAAAATGAAACCCAGCTTTACCCAACATCTGTGCAATTTCTTGCACCACCGCATCATTCGTTTAAAGTATGTGCTTTATGAATTAGTGCAACTTCACCATACCCCGTAGACTTGAAAAAGATGGCTGCATTGCGGTAAAAGTCAAATTTTGTTACTGTAGCTATGCCAAATCGTGCTAAGATTTATTTAAAAGTGTAAGAAAAGGATAAATACTGTTCAAATGGTTGTCTTGCATGTCAGCCATAGGCTGGTTATGAGTCTTGATCATCTTGAAATAGTTCCAAGTTTTGCATGTCTTAATCCCATCATGTTCTGTAGCTGTGGTGGTGCATTTAATAAGCAGTTTTAAAAGCACATCCATCTGCTTGTGAAACATAAACTTTTTAATGCTCAAGTGAATGAATAAGGAAGTACAAATGGCATTAAACTTAGGTCCTTGACAGGACAGAATCTATTAAAATACAGTGGTTGGCCTCGTGAGAAGAACTGCCTTTTTTGCGGACTTATAATACCATTACACTGTTGTTCAAGATGTAGCTATATTTGCGTTAACATTGTGCTGGAGCATGTAGCGTTAAGCTTGGATGTTTGTTCTGTTTTTCTAGCTATCCTGGTGGTTTCAAACAAGTGACAGCAACTCAGCTCCATTTGAAGGATCCAACTGCTGTAAGTGTTTCCCCTTCTTCCCTTGCATTTGTAAAGCTCATTTGTTTAAATTTAGTTACTTCCCCTAAACAAAAGGGATCAGTTACCTGCACGTCTAAAGCTAAATTACAAATATTCTACTAACGGTTCATAGAAGCTTGGCTTGTGACAGTGTTTTTGTGAACAGTGTGTTTTGAGGGTAGATTGTAGGCTGGGCATTTTCCTGTTTCTTCCATGTCCAAATGAGCAAATCAGAGTTCATTTGCTTCGCTCATTTTTGACTGATTCACTTGCTTTTAGTTTCAGGAGTCTGATCTTTTTCGTAAGTGAACTGCCTCAAGTTAGACTTAGCTAAGCCGTTCTTCAGCTTAACAAACCAACTACTTGTTTAAGAGCCAGCAAGAATAATGCTAACCTTAAAAATGTTAGGAAGTACACCTGCCTCTTTCTCCCAGTAAAATTCAGCTGTAGGTTTCATTAAATGATTTTTTTTTTCCTGAATCTTTTCTGCAATGCTGTGTGTTCATGGTCTGTGAAAGGATTACATTGAACTTAAGCCTCTTACTCAATGTCTACATTAGACAGTTATAAATTCTGAGTGTCAGTGATGTGTTTGTTACTGATTAAAAAAATAGGGTGCTAGATATGAACATTTTGGGATGTTGACTTAACACAGTTATGAAATTACTTCTCCAAGGGTTTTGAATGGTCAGCATTGGAGGACTGAATTCTTTAAGGACTAGTGTTTCAGAACATGATAGGAGGCTCATAGAGGTTAACAGATATCTGTGTTTATTTTTGACTTTGAAATGTTTTGGCTTGGGTCACCTTATATGTAAAATATAAAAATGCTTCTTCCTTTTTCTGGAGAAATTTTACCTGCTGTAAAATTCTTGGGGTTTTGTTAGTGATTTTTTTATCTATGATTTGGAAATCCTGGTTTGTCCCAAGGCACTCTTACAGAAGTTGTACAAGTACTCAGTAAAAAAGTGGCCCACCATATGAATGTGTGTGGTTTTCATTTTTAGGTTTGCAATTTCTTTTGTTATTTACAGTGAAATGAAATCCAACAGTCAAGTATTATTTTATGTCTAAAATTTTTCAAATCAGCTTAAATGGTTTTGAGAACAGGCTCTAAGATAGTTGCAATTCCTTTGAGAATTATTGGTAGTTCCGTGTCTAAAATGGATTCTTCAGCCTTTTTCATTTGAGCTTCAGGCAGGTGCTGTGCACTGGGAGGCAGTGTAACACAACTTGTTTGTTAGGGCCTGAGAACTGGGTGTTCTTTAAATTACCTTCTGGCATTCATTCTGAAATGAAATTCTCTTTTCTTGCCAGACTCATAGATGAATCTCTGTGCAAACAGAGGAGGATTAAATGCATTGCCAATAACTGAAGCATGTTGGACAGAGGCTCAGCAAATGGTGATGTGGCTCAAGGCTTGGTCTAATTTAGCTAGAGAAACTTTATTTTTTTTTAAACAGAATTGTGGAGAGCCCGCAGCAATTAACTCTTTCATTCTGTTGAAGAGGAAGCATTCAGATGTCCCCCTCATAAAGATTATCTCATGTGTGTTTTTGTCATATTTAATAGTAGTGGATGGTAGTTTGGCATGATATATTCTGTATGTGTAGCTGTTAGAGGTTTTGACTTCCAAGTGATTTTACAGCTAGAAACATTTATTTACTAGTTGAATTATTTTGGTGTGAACTTCACTGGGATATGACGAAGCTGGAATTATGATGGTGTTTTATTAACATGTTTATTTTTAAAACTAGCTATTAAAACCTGAAAAAGGATTGCTTTAAGAGAATGCCTAGTCCAAGTAGCATTCAGATCTTCAAAATATGATCTAAATGACACATAGTTATTGTGGAGACTTTTATAAACCACTCCAATTCAATTCTTTCCATTGAAGAGAGACCTGTGCTCTTTTAATCGTGTTAAATTCAATTCCTGTGAAAGCAGTGGAATTAGGTGTGTTGTAGGAAGTAGACTGTATCTTTCTGTGAAATCAAGGTCTTCATTCTGTAAAATGTTGTTTTCATCCTGGAGGCTGCTTTTTCTTTGCTCTTGGTCCTATTGTCTCCTGCTAGCTCATCCTGGTAGTGCTTCATTGGATGAGTCAACATTATTTTTGGAAATAGCGCTGTTACAGAAATTAAGGCATTAAATTAATGAAAGAGACCACTTCCAAGGAAAAGGATGTTGATATAAACACCTTGTAAACTTGTGTGGTGTGTTACATAGAGATTTTGCAATGGATATGACTGTTTGCAGTTTATGTAAGAAGTAGATTAAAGCTTGCAAGATTCCGGAAGTGTGTGTAAATAGTAGGACTCCGGTACCGCTTAGCGCTGTCTTTACTTACATATGTCTAAATTCAAACATACAAATCCCTAAGATAAATATTTTTCCATTACAGTTTTGTTTGAACATAGTTTCTAGTAGAGAGACTGGGTTTAGGAAAAACTGGTACACAGCTGATAGCTAATTGAAAAGGTTATAATGAGTAATTTGATGCAAAGTGGTACAGGTTATGTTCACATGGGGGGCTGAAAGTCGTAAGGTCAGAATTTAGACCTGTTTACTGCAGTATGGTTAGATAATCATCCTTGATAATCTTTAGTTCCTTCATAAGGTACCAAGATAGGGATGGATGATGATCTGATATTTTCACTTATGGAGGTGGATGTCATTGTATCTATCTTACTAACTTTAGGCCTTTATATTCCTTGCAGTTAGTAGTTAGTGCTTCAGAAGGATTTGTGCTGAATTTTGGATTTGTTGAATTTGTGCACGTGTATTTTTTCATAGGATCATAGGATGATTCAGGTTGGAGCCAACCTCAGGAGATCTCTAGTCTAACCTCCTACTCAAAGCACTGTCGACTATCGGGTCACATAAGGCTGCTGGGGGCTTATCCAGACTGGTCCCGAAAGCCTCCCATGGCAACTGTTTCAAATCCTTGATTTCTTAGTTGAAAAGAGTTAAAAAACCCCTGTGCCTATTACAAATGTTTAATCTCAGATGTATAATTTTGTGCCTGAGATTGACAAAATATTACTATTTTTTTCCACTTCTAAGAATCTTTTATGCTAATATGGGGCAGTGAATACAAAAAGAGGTCTGCATAGTTGATGTATTGTATAGAGCTTAAAGTTCCATCTTCATTGTGCCAAGTTTTTCAGCACTTTGGAAAAATTTGGTTTTATGGAAGGATAAAAATTACTGTGTGTTGCCAAAAAGATATCAGAAGTAAATAGTCTAGCACATTTTTACCTTTAGTACCTTTGAGTTCCTTTGGGAGGCGTGGGGAGGGGAGCATCTGTGAATCTGTTTAAAATTTCTAGTATTTTCGGTTGTCTGCTCTTCTGGCGAGGAGCAGAGAATAGCTGTCATTTATTGGACTTGGCCAGGCTACTTTAGGAAGTGCTTATTGAATCAAAAAATAGCTTCTTCACATTTCAGCCTTTTCTTTCCCTGACTTACATTTAGTGTGAATTCTTGGACCACCCATAGACAAGTGTATTAAATATGTTCTTTAGGTGCAGCACAACAGCTTGTTGCTGTAGTTCAAAACAGCCTCTCTGTTCTTCAGGTTTATATAATACTAATATTCTGTATGGAATTCCTACTCCCTTAGGATATGTATTAGTGGACAACATTAATTTCCACTGTAGTTTGCTAAGAAAAATCTGTTTGAGAGGTTTGGTGTGTTTTCTTTGCCAAGAGAGTCTTTTGAAAATAAAGGAAACAAGTAAACCTTTTTGTTTGAGATGCAGTGTTTGGAATGCATAGAAGTTTGAGGGTTTCTTCTTTGTTTTTAGTAAAATTTACAGAAATTTTGTTTAGCTGGAAACATGCTGATAGGCATGAGACCACCTAAAAATTAGGCTTCAACACCTTCAAAATTAGGCTTCGAAATACTTGATACAGGACGTCTAGAAGGTGTAAAGATTTTTGAGGGAAACAAAGATTACTTGGAAAAAAACTTTCTGGAAAAATCTGACAGCTTTTAATTAAAATGCCTGCAAAATATGGTGACGGATCTAGTCTGTAGAACCAGGTTGTAGTCCTGTCAGGACAAAGTTTTCAATCAATTTTTATTCTGTTTCTAATTTTAAAAGTAAGCAAAACTTGACTGACTGTTCTTTTTTGTCTGCATCTGAATCTCTCCCCTCAAAAAAAGAAAAAGAACTCACATTTGGCTAATACCAATGCTCAGTGAGAGGATTGACCTTTGCTGTATTGCCTCTGACAAAGAAATAATAGGCAATAATTGTTCAGAATGAATGTTACCTGCTAGGGAAGATTATTAAGCGAGGCAGGGTTGTTCTGTGGAAATATGCTGTGAGGAAGCCTCCGGGGGTGTCAGGGTTCTGGTTTGTTCAGCTGCTGGCACAGATATGAAGGGGCTTAAAATGTTCTAATTCTCCTTTTGAATGCTCTTTAGCAACCGCTTGCATGTATAGGCTTGACATTTTATCTGCATAATAATGATCTTTTGAAGAAAAGCTTGGACAGAAAACACGGTTAAATCTTGCTGTTGGTATTTGAAAGCCTGTTTTCTTTCCATCAGTAAGGGATGGTTAGCACAATAATACGTATAAACTAAAAGTTGGTTACTGAAACACCAGATATAATAGCGTTTTCTTTTACTCCTAGGGAGTAAAGATTTATGATTAAGTAGAGCAAAACTTCAAAGCCTGGATTAGCAGGCACACAGAAGTTAGTATGGCATGAGAGGAGAATACTGTTATAGAACGTGCTATCTTAAAACCTCTGCGTGCTCTAAATAAGTCTTAGGGCTGGTTTGGTCTTTTGCTTCATAGTAGACAAAAATAAATACTTCGATGTTTAAAAAAAAATCTTAATCGATTTCTTACTTGAATTTGCAAGGTACTGATATTAATTTAAAGAACACATTTAAATTCTAAGCATTTAAGTGCTTGAACAGTAGTGGAAAACAAAGTGGCATACAATGGAAATTTGTCTGTGACAAATGGTTCCTGTGGCAG